CCAGGCTAGGAATGTGGACAGGTCTCCACTCTGGGCATCTTGTGTTGTCTAAGCCTGCCCCATGTGATACTTTTTAAAGTTTAATATTTGGACACCATCCAGTGAACCTTGGTTATTGGTTGGTAAAAGTAAAGGTTTCCCCTTGACATTAAGTCCAGTCATGCTTGACTCTAGGGGGCGGTGCTCATCTCCGTTTCCTAGCCGAGGGAGCCAGCGTTTGTCTGCAGACAGTTTCCGTGGTCATGTGGCCGGCATGACTAAACACCGAAGTGCGCGGAATGCTGTTACCTGCCCACCGAAGTGGTACCTTTTTATCTACTTGTATTTACAAGCTTTCGAACTGCAAGGTTGGCAGGAGCTGAGAGGGAGCAACAGGAACTCACCCCATTGTGCAGAATCGAACCGGCGACCTTTCAATCAACCAGCACAGCAGCACAGCAGTTTAAACCACTGCATCACCTGCAGTCCCTTATTGGTTGGTATAGAATGGTAATAAATGAAATCCCACCAACCTCAGACAAGCTCAGAGAGAGCAGCCTAAAACAGTACTTATTTGGCCTGTCTGCTGCTTACTTTGCCCAAGCTGAACCTAGTTTGGCCACCAAAGTCCTCAGCCTTCCACAGGTGGAGATTCATAAAGGCTTCTTTTTAAAATGGACTCATTTTTATTTACCACCGAGACTCAAGAGATTCTGTCTTCAGCCTTAGGAGCAGGTCAGACTGACCAAAGGAAAGGTATCTGGCAACATTATCCCATCTCTGTTTGTCAACATCTCCTTGTCTCTTTTGTGGTGTACATGTTCAGAATTAGTATAATTCTGTGCAGCCTGCCCTCATGGTCTTGTGGTAGGGATCATGTCCAGGACTCCTGTTTTCCTGGGGCAAGCACACACCTTGTTCCCATTCCACTCCATTGCTATTAAGGCACTTCAGTGCTCTCACAGTGAATTATCCTGGACAAGTGTGTTTTGATTTCTAGAAGAGGAAACACGGGAAGCAAACAAAGCATTATAAATAGGGATAAATGCATTTTGAGCTTTAGATTAATCTCCTTCCCATCTTCTTTCTGCCATGACTACAAATCAGGACTAGCCTGATTGGACCAGCTTTTGTTAACAAACTAGAACAATGACAAACAGGACTCAATGGCAGGAAAACCTAGCAGGTAAAAGGACGGGGGGCTCCTAAACAAAAGAGATACTAAAGGTGCGATAAGAAATAATCTCAATGGAATGGAAGACAAGAGAAGAAGCCAATGCAACTATATAAAAAGATGAGCAATGATCTGAAATAAAAAGGACACTTATGGGAAGTGGAAAGGGGGACAGGTCATGAAGGTGTGAAGGCAGATAGCCCAGAATTGCAGAGATGCTGTCAGGAAGGCTGAAACTCAGAATAAACTGAAGTTGGTGAGGGAGACTTCTTAAGATATGTTAAAAGTAAAAGGAAGACAAGAGTAACAGCAGGGCAGCTGCTCAGTGAAGATGGCAAAATGCTGATAGATGACGAGGAAGTGGCAGAACTGAGACCTCCTGAGTTTTGAGTGTCCCACTGCCATAGGTCCCAGTGCTCCCAACTGTTTCATTCAGTCCTGAGACTCCAGTGCTTAGGATGGTGGAAAAACGTAGACCATCCCTTTTTGCTGACACTTGCCTTTCATAGCTGCCAGAAGTAGGGCATTTATTAATATTGAAAGCAGGGTTTTAGGCAGGGGCAAAAGAGGGCAATTTGGACAGGGAAGTATGCATAGGAAGTAGGTATGCATCCATGTCCAAACTATCCTTTTCCCTTTTTTAAAAATGCCACTTCTGACAGCTGTCTGAAGTATCAGCAAAAAGCAGGTGAAAAAAATAGGTCAGTAGGACACTAAAAACCCCAGAAAATCAGAAAAAGGGGGAAAAGTGCCTACCTTCTTTCATGAGCAAAGATCACTTCGCTTGACAGCTCATCTTCAGAAAGGTATCAGGGGAAAGCACATTAAAATAAACCTACTTGAAACCTCCCTGGGTCGGAGTCTAGGGATGGTACCTGTTGTCCAAGAGAGGCTTCCTGTTTTTGAACCTGTGAAACTCCACACCTCTGCAGTTGTGCATGTTCAACTAAATGCGTACATATATAGTATGTATGTATGTATGTATGTATGTATAGAGAGATGCTCATATTTTTGTGACAGTCCCTCCAATGTGAATGTGGTGGGAAGGACACTGGCTGCTTTTCTCCTGCCTGGGGGCAAGGCTGGAGGGGTAGAGGGCTCCAGCAGCTCTTGGGTCTGTCTGTGCCTTCACAGATGGGTGGGGGTGGGGGAGAGAGAGAGCATTTGCAAAGTTGGGGACTGGATGCATGAACTAAAATGGCCTGGTTTGTCAGCATCAAGTGAGCCCACACTTTTTAATTTTTTGTAATTTTTGTAATTTTTTGTAATTGTTGTAATTTTTAGGGCAATATGTCTTAAAAAGAGAGCATCTCTCCTTTCTTGAAGTCTTCCCCCACCCTTTACTTAAGAAACACTTTTAGGTAGAGAGGAATCCTGCACCCTTCCAGTTGAGTTTGACTAGCTCAAAAGGAAGCACACAAGCCAGCATTCTCCTCTGGATGGAAAGAGAAAATACAGCACAGATCTGCGCTCGCTGCCCCCAGGTGCAAAAAGACTGACTCTGGACCTCTGCTCTGTAGCGCTCCCTTTGCTTGCAAGACGGGTGGCTGCAACTGTTGGCTGGGTGGGGATGTGACCACTGGCCAGGCAGCAGCTGCCGAACTTCAGTTTGAAAGCAGGGAGACTGGCAGTGCTACTCAGAAGTAAGCCTTGCTGAGTGATGAGCTCCTGGATAAGAATGTGTAGGTTGCAGCCTCAGACTAAAGCCTCTGCATTAAAACAGACTGGCGGCAAATGCTGTAAGGGTTGGGAATCTGGGAGGGCCGGGATGTGGATGGCATGTGCCCTGGAGCCGCTCTCAACAGCCCTCTCTTTCCAGGAAGCTCAGCTTCCCCTTGCCTGAGCCTGCCCTTCCAAGGCTCCTGGGTAGCAGGTGGGGGCTCTCTAAGGCATGCTGGTGGGGTGGGTCATACTGAAAGGAAGAGCAAGGTGCCTCGGTTGCATGTCAGGCCACCCCTCTTAATGGATGAAAAACCAGCAAAAAGTGGTGCTGCCTTGCCTGGCAGGACTGTAGATCATCTCTGAAAGAAGGGTGCAAATTGACTGAGGTTCACCTATCATGCAAGAAAGGTGCTCTGCACACAACAGGGCATCCTCATCAGGATTAAAATGGGAGGTTTCAGTGACTAATGTAAGACAATGTGTTATATTGGCAAGGTATTAACAATAAGTAAAGAAAGGAAATCCACACACTGTACTATCACATGCTGTTAGTATGTGATTAACAGTAGTCAGGTGCTGAAAATAGGTCTACAGCTTTGCTTGATTTTAATTTTGTATTAGAAGTATTTATGAGTTGCTCTTCCTTAACACAAACTGGTATATCTTGCTACCTTTGGCATTTTTAAAGGAAGGTGGAGTATAAATGTATTTGTAAAAGTTCAATGTAAGGCTGCTTCCTGGTCTTTGGTAACTTTTTCTATTGTTTTAGTCTGCCTGTCCATCCAGCTAAGGCTGCATTCGCAGTACTGGCTCGACAAAAGCCTGGCTTTTCCTTGTGGGAGAGCTGGAACCTCCTATAAGCAGAGCTGTTCTACCTCAGGCAAAGTGACGTGCTTCTTCAGGCAGTTTGTCAGGGGTTTATGCCAGGGAAGCAAGTTTTAGCTGTCTGATTTTTATTGTTGTCCTGTTAATTGACTTTTTACTCCCAGAAATGGGGAGAGACCCTTACAAAATGTTCTGTTCTGGGTTGCCAGCAGCATGACCAGGAAAACAGAATAATTGGCTGCTCCGCCTGAGGCAACAAAATGTCTTGCATTGTCCCTTGTGCCATGGTTGGCAATACATGCAAATTGCACAACCAGAAAACAAGGGTCCTAAAGAAAGGCTGTGTTTAATTCTCTATTTGTTCAAAAAAAATGAGCTTTTTTTATCAAGTCTGAAACATAAACAGGGGATTGGGAGGTATATAATATTAAATGTTTGCACCAAGCGCAGAGAAATGCTGCTGGGGCATAGCCTCCGACAGCCCAAAATCCAGATCAATTCCCCCTCTGATTTCTGAGATGCCACCTGGACTGAGTCACATGGCCCACGTCATCTTTAACAGGCAGAAATTTGCTTTTTCAAAACGAGATAAGATTTCAGCATGTTCAGCTGCACAATGCAATGACAGAACTTTGGAGCATATATAACTTTGGCTTAAAATGGCTTTCTTAATAGTTTTTCTCCTAATGATTAAAACGATACCTTACTGGCATGTGCCTGTGTTGAACGATATCTTAGGGCTCAAATCTGTTCCCTAAAGCGAGGCAACTTCCTGCTGCGTACGGTTCTGTGTGACACCAGCTATGTCCTCCCAGGCACATGGATGAATACTGCATCCAGGCACTGTTTGGCCTTTGAGTACCAGTCCTTGGGGAACAGCAGCAGAGAGGGACGTCACCCATGAGGCAGCTTGCTTATGGCCTTCCCAAAGACGCCTGCGGGAAACAAGATGCTGGCCAGCCGGCCCTTGGATCTGAAGCAACACAGCCCTTCTCCTGTCCGGAGGCACAAGAGAAATGGGTGCCTTGCCTCTCCTGTGGGCCATCAAGTTTCAAATGAAGCTACTGAGGTGGTCAGCATGATGACATGAGATACAAACCTTTCTTCCTGCCACAGCCTTGGGTACCACCTAGTAAGCTGATGGAAGCAATTCTCCTAGGTGTTGGCAATTCATTTTAAGAAGGCTGTGCCATTTGTGGTGGCAGCATGGAGTGAGGAAGGCTTGTTTCATTTTTCTGCTGTCAAAAATGAGACAATTCCTGAATCTCTCTGTTTTCCTTTTGGAGGGAATACAAATGTAGACTTTGTAATGTTTACCACTGATTGCTCTTTGCTAATAGAGTATCTTTTCCCATTTCAGATCTGATAAAACCCTACAAGATATTGTCTACAAGCTGGTCCCAGGGCTCTTTAAAGGTAGGAAAGTGTGGCCAGCAGCAACCACTGCTAGGTGGAGTTTGGGGAATTTCTTTTTAGGTTATGGGATCAATAATGGGATTAAACATGCTTTGGTTGACTTGCATTCCATTTAGTCTTCTCTTGCCACCCAGCAGAGCACTCTAGGATTGTCCAGGGCCTCCTACATGCTGGCCCCAAGGACATCTTAGAACCATTTGAGGCCCACTGAAATATTTTTGCTGGGCACTTCCAGGACAAGATCTCTTGCATCCAGCAGGACTTAGACTCCTGTCTTATTGCAGTGGAAGCAGGTGAGAGATCCAGAGCACAGCCTGGCCATTTTTTTAAATTTATTTATTTTGAGAAGTTTCAGCTGGTACAGCTTGAGGATGTGAACAAAGTGCTTGAACAGGTTTGTGCAAACATGTCCATACTGAATTGTTGCCCCTCTTGATAAATAAAAGCTAGTAGGGAGAGAACTGCTGGCTGGGCCAGGGAGATGAATAACGCCTCTTTACGAGGAGTAGTTCCATACCACCTGAAACATGGCAATGGGGAGGCCATTCCTGAAGAAGCCTTCCCCAGACCCAGAAGAATTCAGTAATTTTAGAGTGGTGATAAATATTCCTTTCCAAGGTTCTTGAGCTGGTGGTAGCCAGCCAGCTCCAGGCATTTTTGAATAAGCCCAATTATCTGGGTCCATTTAGTTCAGGCCTGGTTTTGGCATGGAAACAGCTTTGGTTGCCCTGTATGGTGACCTATGCCAGGAACGAGATAGCGGGAGTGCAACCCTGTTGGTACTCGTGGACCTCTTGGTGGCTTTTGATACCATCAGCTGCAGAGAAACTGTCTGAGTTGGGAGTGAGAGGCACTGCAGTGCCGTTGTTCTGCTCCTACTTGGATTGCAGGCTCCAAAAGATGGTGCTCGGGTAATATTGTTCTGCCCCTTGGACTCTCCAATATGGGGGCCTCAGGGGTCGGGGTGTTTCTCCTTTTCATCTTCAGCAGATGAGCCTGTGGATGTGCTAAGCCATTGTCTGGTGTGGAAATGGACCGGATGACGTTCAGTCCAGACAAGATGGAGATGCTGTTAGTGGGTGGTTCTTCTGACCTGATGGAGGGGATGTAACCTGCTCTAGGTGAGGTTGCACTCCCCTCGAAGGAGCTGGTTCATGGCTTAGGTTGCTCTGGAGTCATCTTTATCACTTGATGCCCAGGTGGCTTCCATGGCTCGGAGTGCTTTCTACCAGTTTCAGCTGGTGGCTCATCTATAGATAGCTTACAATCAGTAATCTTTGCTCCGCTAATCTCTGCATTAGATCACTGCAATGCATTCTACATGGAGCTGCCTTTGAAGACTGTTCAGAAGCTGCAGCTTGTACAAAATGCAGCAGCCGGATTAATAACAGGGACTAGATGGACAGAGCATGTGACACCAAGTCTGGCCTGATTGCACTGGCTGTCTATATGCTTCCAGGCCCGATTCAAGGTGCCAGTTTCAACCTATGAAGCTGTACGTGGTCAGGATCTTAGCACCGGATGGAAAGCTTCTCCTGACCGCGATCTCTCTGGACACTCTGATAAAGATCTGGGGTTTGCCTCTGCTTGCCACCTCCAAGCAGTAATTTTAAAATGTATGAATAATTATGTGCTTATATACGATAACATCTTGATAAATATAAATTAATTGCTCTGTTGTATAACTGCACCTGAAGAATAAGTTAAGATAAAACTGCTGATCAATTATTTGTTTTCCCTTGCAGATGAGATGAAGAGACGGCGTGATTTCTATGCAGCATACCCTCTGGCAGATGGTATGGTGTTTGTCTGACAAGTTTTTTGACACTTCTGCACAGGAATAAATCTTTTGAAAAGAAGCGGTGTTTTAAAGTTCTCTCTCTTTTGCTTGTCTAGTTCCTAATGGATCCAATGAAGACCGGGGCGAAGTTTCAGAACAAGAGAAAGGGAACCTGACGGATGACGAAATTGTCAGCTTATCCATAGAGTTTTATGAAGGGATCAGGTAATCATGAGATGTAACAGCAATGCTCATGTGGTTTGACAGTTTCCTTTAACAGCTCCACCTTTTGATCATCATAATTTCCCACTGTTGCTTTGGATTGGTCTTGTCTATTTTAAAAGTGATTTTATATCTTCTTAATTATATCATATAAAATCATTTTTGGTTGTATGTCATTTTGTGAATTCTTATGACCATGTGATAGGCATGTACAGTTTCATAGTAAACTAGTGGAGGCCTCTGAAATTTTATGTAAAGGTGAAAAGGACTTGTGCTCCTTTTTGTTTGTTTTGATACATCATATAAAGGAAAAGAAATCAATTGTGGTCAAAACCAATTATGGGAAATGTTTGTTTCCATCTCTGCTCCCCACCCCCACACAGCAACCTGAGCTAAAGTGCGTTCCTATGCATGCTTAGACAGAAAAAGTCCAACAACCCCCTGACCCATTCGATTTTTTTCCATCTAATCGTGCATGATATTGTGCTCCTGAGTAACTTTAGGCTCAGGATTTAGTGATCCTGGGGGGACTGTGCTCTTTGGATGATTATGTGGGGATCACCTGGCTCATTCTGCTGAGTAAAGCCCTGTACAGCAGCCCCAAAGTTCTCCCCTGTGGGCACCCCCCTCCCCCAGCTAAGGCCCTCCATATGCAGATAGGGAAGAAGGTTCTCCCACCTGCTTGCACAATCAGGAATTGATAGCCCCAAACCAGAAGTGGGTCCCACTGTGTGTGCCAGTGTAGAACACAGCCTTGGGATCAAATCCAAATATGAGTCCCAATAGGAGGGACAGACATCAAGTTCTTCCCACATGAGATGAAGGGGAATTCCACCCATTCTCTGGTCGCTCAGTGGCAGCACCTGTTTGCTGTCCTGCTACCAACGTTTGCTAGCTGTATGAGAGCATGCATACCCGTCAGTCTCTAAAACACTGACCTTTTTTTTGAGAAGGATTTTTCTGAATTTGAAAGTGTGTACATTTTTGTCCCTAATGTGGCTGCACCTGGGGCACTCATTGCACAGAGAGGGAGAAATCAAACTGCCATTGGATGATCTGTACACTTACCTAAAAATTAAGCTCCATCCCTTTTCAGTGCCTCCCTGACCCTCTTCTTGAGGCATGTTAAACAAGTTTGTCTCTTAGCTCTCTTAACTCTACCCATCTGGGAACCACCAGGACTTACTTCCCCTTCAGAACCTCTTGTTCGGAAAAGTGCCCTGCTTTTCCTTCAATCTGAGGCCTAGCAATTGGTTAGTTGTGCATCTGTGTAAATTTTGAAAGCAGATTGCTGGCCAGTTGGCTGTGAATAATATTCAGAGGCAGCAGCTGGAGTGGGTTACTAAGAGTATATGCTTCTTTGTTTCCTAATTTCCAAAGCTGTCCCTATTTTCACACGATGCTTTTGGATTAAAAAATTGTTCTAGTATGAGCCAGAGGCCATGCCATTTTGCAGGCTCAGGTGGAACAGTGAAAACTGCCACAGTCCCAGACAAAATGCACAGTAATCAAGTCTGGCCAAGTTATTTTGGTACCTGAGTCAGAAAATCCCTCAAGCGTCTTACTCTCAGTGTAAAACTATGACAATACATTTTTAAATAAGGAAGAGTTTGATTCACTTTCTTGATACTTTCTGCCTGAAGCAACTGCCCCATTCTTTGTCCTTTTGGAGTGATTTGAGGTGCTTTAGAAAAAATTGTATGAATTACTATTCATTTTTCATCTTCCCCTCCAGAGCCTCTACAAGTAAAATATCGGACAAGTATCTCTCCTTCAGGCAACAATCATGTAGCTGTTCCTTTACTAAGTCACTTTTGAGTTTAACTGTGGTCTGCATGAGTAAAAATCATACGAAAATAACTGTATTTCTAAACCCACACAGAACCCACACAGGTCTGGGTTCTCATGTTTCTCCAGGTGGGGTCAACCATTAGATACCTTTTTCAATATGCAGAAGAGATTGAATTTCTTATACTGTGTACACACATTGTACTGATTTCTCCTCTTATTTTTTCCTCTTAGAGAAGAAAACAAAGGAACAGTTGAGAATGGAAACCTGGAGAAAGACAAGGTGAGTTAAGCCACTGTGTATTCTATTCTTGAATAGATTTTGAACCTATTTTCTCAAATACTTTGGAAATATGGGGAAAGCATGTGTACCCTACACAGAGGGGTGGGGGAGGATACAAAAGACAGTAATGTTTAATTTATAAAAAAAGAGATGTGGAGCTTGAATTACAGATCTATGTCATTTTTATAAACTTCCCGGAAAGGTTTGGCTGTTGAGCAGTATGGATATTTCTTGCATGAAAATGATTGTGGTTCTTTCAAAAAGTATGAGTGGGGGCTTGAGCTGGCCATCTCCCTACTTCCCATTTACTTTGGCTTATTTTTTGAACATTTGGCGTTGGCTGTGGTCCCTTCTTGCTCATGCCAAGCATCACTGTCATCTTCACTGTGACCATGTACCGGGGTGGCCGAACTGAGGCTTGCAAGCCACATGCAGCTCTGAGCTTATATTGCGCCTATTTGGTCCCTGTTTGTCTCTGGCGTGGAATGGGGGAGGGAAAGGATGGGATGTGCCTTACCAGACAAGCCACAGGATCGAGGAGGAGGCCAGCATGCAAAATCGAGCCCTGTGGGCCCTGCTGGAGCTCAGAGGACTGGACAACAGCTGCACTCCGGGGAGGATCAGGTTCTCCGCAAAGTTTCTGGCACGGCAGCTGGGCAATGAGATTTCTGGCCGCTTCTGCTGCCAGGTGGTGTCTTGTACCCGAGCTCACAAGGTGGCAGTGCGCGGCTGCTCAGTTCCTTCCAATATTCAGGGCTGAAAAGGAAAGCCCCACTCCAAAAGGGTTTTAGTCATTTGGGGTTGAAAGCAGAGCTGTGCCCTAGCAGCAGTAAGTCTTAATGTCCGAACTGCCCAAATAATGTTGGGCGGAGCTTGCTTCTAGGCGAGTGTGGGTAGGGTTGCATTAGCTGAGGTACACGCAAATCGATTGGTCGAGAGATCTTGTCAGAGATTATCAATGACTCCCAGCCAAGATGGGAGACTCACAAGAGCTTGACCAGCAGCAGCTAGCCTGATGATTGTAGCAATGCCTGTTTGGTCCAAACAAACATTTGTTCAGGTCTTGTGGGCCCTCAGCATCTGACCTTCACCATAGGTGGCTTTTCTGTTGAGTAAGACTGGCCACCCCGCTCCCTGTCAAAGGAGGGAAGGGGAACCTCCAACCAATGGCGATTCCCCATCTAGCCTGTGGGTGGCGCTTGGCCTGCGGTCCTGCCCCCTGGAGCAAGGACAGCAGGGGATGCAGGCAGGCGGGGGAAGCCGCCGCAGCTGAACTGGCCCCTCCGGCGGCTGGCTCAGCCATGGCAGCCCTCCATGCCCCCATCGTTCCCCCAGTGAACTGTACGGTCAGCTCTCCATTTCCCCCACCCTTTCCCTTAATCCTGTCCCCTCTTTCACTTTTTTCCCTTTATTTTTCTACCACTTTGCCTGTCTCTTTTTTCCTCTCTGTAGCTTGAGATTATGCTCCCACCACCCTTTCTTGACATCCCTCCAAGTGGTACAGGGATTGCATGACTGGCCTTTGTCTGTGACCCCTGCACCTGCCCCTCCCCCGTCTCGCCCTGCCCTTGGCAGATTTATGACTTTTTCCATTCATATTTCGGCTGCAGCCCTGCCCCAGCATCCCCGTCCCCTCCCGTTAAAGCCGTCTCTCTCATTCTTCCCCAGAAGAACAGCATGAGGTTCCTCCGTTGTCCTGCTGCCATGACTATCATGCATCTGGCCAAGTTCCTTCGCAACAAGATGGATGTTCCAAGCAAATACAAAGTGAGTTGCAGCTGCATACACCAAACTTTCCCCAGCCAGGTTTGCCCCTGGCCTTGTGCTCTTTGTCCTCCAAGTAAGCTCCAGTCCCGTAGCTGACCCATAATACATGAACAGCGAAATATGCAGATCCAGTGACTTCTGCATGCCAAAGAGCAGAGTTCAACCTGAAAGCCAATTTACCCTTTACCAACAGGTTGATTTAACAGTGCAAGTTTGTTTCTGAGTTACACAGATGAATATTCTCGCAGGTGAATTTCTCAGTTACATATCCATGATGAGGAATCCCTCCAGGGTGAGAATCTGTGAGATTCCCTGAGATCAGCTCCCTGGATTCTGGGCCACTTTGCAAAGGTCCAGAGCCCAGGAATTGAGCCCCACGTGTTGTATGAGCAGTGCCCCTTTCTGGCACCAGAACAGCTGCTGTCCGAGCACCGAAGAAAGGTCTACTCATGGGGGGCTCGCCGGGAAGGCAGCCTGCCTGCGGCTGCTCTGCAGGCAGAGTCCTCCTCCATGCTGGCTGCTGCAGCTGACACAGAAGAAGGTTGCCAGTTGCACAGCTGAGGCTCTGCAAGTGTTTGCAGACTTTCTCCCAGCTCGGTTCACCTTGGAAGACCGGGGCAAGCACAAGAGGAAGCCTGCGGATGCTTGGAGGGGCAGATTCCGGTAGGGATTGTACCACCCTAGGTGGTACCTTGCCAGTTGTTTCCCCGCAAGGAGAGAATAGAACTTTACGCATGTTGGATGAACTGTGTTTTATTTTTGCAATATTCTAAGCTTGAGCCTTGGCACTGAAAACAAGACCTAGGCCCTCAGTGGCTTTGCCTCACAGTCTGGTGCTATACAAAATGTTGCATTTATCTGTGTGCTTTTGTCATGTGAATTCAGAGTTTCATCTTTCACTGTGTAATGTTATCTATTAGGTGGAAGTACTCTATGAAGATGAACCTCTGAAGGAGTATTACACCCTCATGGACATAACTTACATCTATCCTTGGAGAAGAGTGAGTGAAAAGTAAACGGCTCTTTGAAGAAGCCTGCCTTGTGGAAATGTCCCACGTATTGGTCCCTAATGACAGCCAGGCTCCAAGCTAACCAGAGGACACTTATAGATTTCCAAATTTTGGCCTGCCTCCTTGAGGGCAAGAAACTTTTTTTAAAGAAACCCGAGGTTTTATTAAAAATATCTGCATGCAACAGAGAAAAGCATGAAACCACGAGAGGAGAAAAAGGTGAAGGCCCACTGAGCCTGTTGGAGAGGGAGGGCAGGTGCGATGCATCTTGTGAGTCCCTTAGCCGTACCCACTGAGGCCTTGTCTGATGCAGCAGGCAGACCAACCAAACTGCAAACCTTTGCACATACCCCAAGTTGCCATTTTTAGTAGTCTGAGGAAAGTATGCTAGTATTTCATACAGTGATTCCTGAAGGGATGTTTACAGGTGGGGAGCATTTAATTTAAAATCAACCACAAATCAAAACCTTGATTGTTTAACACAACAGATGTCTATTTTCCATTGAGGAAACTTGAACTGGGGGATTTAGGGGGAAATAGGAGGAATTTCCTCCACTCTAGGAGGAAATAGTGGTGACAAGAAATGTTGAAATTTTTAGAGAGGGATTAAGTATCAATATAAAATTATCTCAGTAATCTTACACCTGCCAAGCCCCTATCAACTGCGGCGTCTAGGTCAGCATGGACAGGATCGCTTTTATCTGCAAAGCGTTGCACGAATTGGACTCAGTGGGCTGCCTGGCGGTCCAAATGTTCTTCTTGTTGGCCAAAGCACGATAGGCTTTCACCACCTGAAAAAGCTCCGTTGGGCAACTCTGCACAGCTGCAGTGGTGGCAGAAAAGTACAATTTCTTTGCCACCTACAGAGCAGCTCCATCTGGTATCTTGCTGCAAGCTGGGCTTCCTCCTTTGCACTTCTAAAACACAGACCGTTCTTTGGCCAAAGCTCTGTTTTCTCCAACGCACCTCCAAAGAATGAGTCTCTGAGCATCAGGCACAAAGTGATTCATTGTCCCCAATTTAGCACCTACTTCCCAGCATTCTCTTTTTGAGCACCCTTGGGACCCTTCCCTTTGGGCTGTCCTTTTTGGGGATGAGCAAACCTCTACTCTGTCCCTCGCCCCTCTAGTTGGTCAGCCTGTCTCCTGGTGCCATGCCATGGGGTCGAGAGCCATGCCAGGCTTGGCTGGCTGCAGGAGTTCTTCTCCCATGGCCCCTCCCTGCACCTGTAAATCCTGAGTATTCTCAATGCCCACCTGAACATCCTAGGAAGGTGGCCTTGTGGTAAACTCCTCTGTTTCTTGCATTTCAGTGTCCGAGCATTCTGGTTCCTAGGACCCCTTGGCACCTGATGAGTCCATATCTGCCTAATCCTAGAACACGGGCCAAGAATAGCTGTCCCTTTCATTCCCAACAGACATTCCCAACGCTCATTCCAAGCGTTGATCCACCACGCTGAACAACCAACTGATTCCATTCCCTGCACCCCCCCTAGAAAATTAGGGAGCTTGTTTGGATCCACTCCAAGGGACATTCAAAGCCTATCCTGCCAACCATCTGAGCCACCTCCCCATTCTAGAGAACCACCAGGGCTTTGGCACAAGTACCTGCCAAGGGGATAGGAAAATCCCGAAGAACCATCAGGACTAGGGTTAGGATTAGGATTGGTAAAGGAAGAAACTGCTTTGAATTTACAAGAGTTGGGCAAGGCTGTCAAGGAGGACTTTCCTTCACTGGGTTGCCATAAGCTGGAGATGAGCTGGTGGCATGTAACAGCAACAGCCAACATGATGGGTGGATCGGAAAGGAGGTTAGCACTTTTATTATAATGGTTTAATACATGAAAGTGCCAGTGCATATGGAACTAGATATGGACTTGGGTTTGACCCTTTGGGTTTGAACAAGAGGAAGAATTTGGAATGAGAGTAGAGAAAAGAAGTTAAGAAAAGCATATAAAGTAGTCTCGACTGAACACTCGTCTGTCTCGAGCATTTAAAGGTTTGCATCTTTATGCACTGAGAAACAATACACTGGAAAATTAGCACACTTTCAAAACTTGCTGCTCGTTTTTGCTCTCCTTCTGCAGAATGGCCCCCTCCCCTTGAAGTACCGAGTCCAGCCAGCCTGCAAGAGGCTAAAGCTCTCCTCCCAGCCGCCCAACTCGGAGTGCACCAACACCAGCGGGGCTTCGGAGTGCGAATCGGTCAGCGACAAAGCAAACAGCCCTGCCACCCTGCCAGCCACTACCTCTTCCTCCTTGCCAAGCCCTGCCACACCGTCCCATGGCTCCCCCAGCTCCAACACCACCACTGTGAGCATTCCCACCAACTCGACTTCTGGTGCCGTGCTCAACGGCACCTCGAACTGCCACCAGATGCAACCCTTGGCCAACAGAGGGCGCAAGACAATGGCAAATGGTGGCCCAGCCATGTCGGCGTTGACTTAAAGGAGCATCGCTTCAGTTTTATAAATACTAAGTATATTATGTGTAGATAAGGGCAATGGTGGGTGTGGTGGGGAAATTATACATACTTATTTTCTATTGATTGACCTGATTTAATTTAAGAAAAAATAATGCAAAAGGAGACAAAAAAAAAAAATCCAATGTGTCCCCCCCTTAATTTTTAAAAAGTAAAAATGTGCTCATGTAACTGCATGATGGCATCTGTGTAAAAGCTGTAGCCCCTTCTTGTTAATAATTATTTTTTTACTTGTGTCCTCGATTTGTAGCAAGACTTAATGCACAGGCCCAAAGGGAGAAACGCACAGTCCCGAGTAAGTCAGGCCGTGTTTCCTAGGCACGCGGCTGGCTTATTTGTGCTCTTTTCGTCATATGACTGTAGCCTCACGTTTACAGCAGCACACTTCCCCACGCCATTGACACTGCCCTTCAGGTCCATGTACCGGCATCTACCTCTCTTGGCCTTTGGTTCAACTTCCTGTAGTAAGGGAGAGCCAAGCATCTGTGTATGTGGAAAGGGGTCACAAGCTTCTCCATGGCAGAAAAGTCAACAGCCACTGCAGGTATGTACTCTACCAGGACAAAACATGACAACGGGGAGCAGGGGGGCAGCCCCCCCCCCATAAGCAACAGAGAAGAGGATTAGGGTAAGCGGCACAGGCTCAGAGGCCTGGACGTGGTCCATGTGCCACTGCCTGAGAAAAGGGGCCTCCAGGCGCTGTGCAGATACCCCCAGGCTGCCGTTGGGGTGCAGTCTGAGCAGTGCTAGTAGGGGCAGGCCTGTCCTGCTATGTTGTGTTGTTGTTCTGGTTCTCGGACGGACTGTCTGTTCCTACTGGGTGTCAGGCCATAGGCTTGGGCTGCACCCCTGTTCCCCCAGTAGCTCAGATGACCTTGGAGTAGTGAGTGGTTCCATCTCCCTGCCCGCCTGCGTCTTTCTCCATGAAAGTGCAGTGGTGTATTTGGCGGGAGACGGCCGCTTCTCTTGGCGTCATGTCACCAACCCAGGCGGGTGCATGAACTAACGCCAGGAACACTAGCATGGTGGACATGGTGTCTTGTGCTCGGCACTTACTTGGTGGGGTAGCATGTCTTTGAGCCTCACGTTATTATTTTTACTTTCCTTTTCTCACTTGTGTACCATGTCTCTGTCCGGCACACCGTCATGTCAAATTTAAACCATTTCAGTTGTCGTATTTCTCTCCTGGCAGTGGTGGTGGTGCTGAGTGTTCTTCGCCTTGGTCTCTGTGCACCACACAACTGGGCGTTGGGAAAAGCTTCTAAAGCTCAGCATATTCTTAGCTGTCTTGGCCATTTACTGACCCTGCCATTCCCAGAGCTTGGTAGGAATAGCTGGAAGTGGAGCCCGCCATGTTCAGAGGAAATATGCTTCCCAAGTACCAGATGCTGGGGACAAACAGCCAGAGAAAGTCAGCCATCTTCATGTCCTGCATTTGATCTTCCCAGGCCACTTTTGGCAGACCACACAGTTACAAGTTGGGGGGTACTTGGCTCAACGACAAGCGAAGAGGAGCTTGGAATTGTTATGATCACAGGCTGAATATGATGTGTCTGCAAAAAGGTGAACACTAGATTGGATTGGTTTAATAGAAGTAGAAGTACAGCGCTCCAGATCACACGAGGTTCTGGCTCCCTTTCTTCAGCACTCATTAGGCTGCATCTGGAGTGCTGTGTCTCATTCTGGGACTGCACTTCAAGACAGACCCAGGCCACTGGAAGCGTTCAGAGGAGGGCAGCAAAGATGATCAGGGACTGGAAACAAAGCCCTACGAGTTTCTCCCACTGTCAGAGACTGCTAGGCCACGTAGGCCTTTCGGTCTTATTTTTAAAAAGTAGGCTGTTACGGTTCCTTGGCTGGGAGCTATGACGGTTGGAAGTGGTTTAAATTTGAAGTGTGCATCTGCGGCAAGTGTGTGCTCCTGAGCGTGATAGTAACATGTGAGTGAGGAGTTCAAAAACTTGGGCATAGTGATTTCCATCATCCTGGATATTGGAGAAATGTGCCCCTTGAGTTCAGGGGGTCTGCTGCAGCCACGGTCTGTGTGTGTCCACCCGTCATTTGTAGCCACACAAGTGGGTGTGTTTGGGAATGGCCAGAGTCAGCTCGTCACAGTTCTTGGGATGCACATTGTTTGTAGCCCTTTTAGGATCCTGTTTACTATTTTAAAAGCTTTTTCTTGCTTATCCTTCTTGTAAATTGAGTTTCAAATAAATAAATACAGTGCCTTTGGAAAGGAAATTTTATTTATTAATGTGTTAAGGTGATAGACCACTGTTGTGGTTTGACTTGGGTAGTGGAAGTGGGTGGAGAAGATTTCTTTTGCTTTCTTATGTTTCAAAACTGACAGGTAGAAATGCACAATTTCCAGTAGGAAGAGTTCTATTCTTCCATCAACTTGAATCTTCTAATCTTTTCCTTACAGAGAAAAAGCAATTCAAAATTATTCTTCCCCTGACTTTTTTTTTTTTTTTTTTTTGATAGTTGGAAGGGCTAACTTGATGCAAGCACATTTTTTATCCCCCAGGAACTTTTAACAGTCTTTTTCTCTGTTTAAATCTTGAGAGCAGTTGATTCCTGAAAAGCATTCCATGTTTGAAAATAAGTTTTTGTAGGTAGATCTGTAGCACAGGTGGGTGTGCACAGGGGCAAGGGGGCGTGGAGATGGACGAGGGGATGCATGTTTACCAGCCTGGCAAGACCTGATCTCACCTGCCCAAATTCCTGAGCTAGGTCACCTGCTAGCACAGTAAGGTAGATGGGAGCCTGGCGAGAAGCAGACACAGACTTGCACTGGTTGAATTAATGAGAATAGGAAGGCATCCTAGAAGTATTTGGACCTTGCACAACATGACTTTTCAAGAATGACACGTATTTTCCTTGCTCCTGCCTTTCGGGTGCTGCATTTGGAGGGAGGAGACAGAATCAGTGCTGCGGAGGCTCCTCCCGCTGCCCGTTCCTTTCACCCGCACAGCTTCCCCGAGGCGAGAATATGTGACTTGCTTTGCTGGACCAGACCAAAGGTTCTGCTCCCCCGCCCTGCCCCGCGTCAGGGTCACGCAGGGGACTTCTGGACTGCATTTTCTCATAACAGCACTACTCCTTTCTCCCCTCGCCTCGTTACAAATCGCTTCAGAGCTTTTCCCCTTGGTTTCAGAGTCGGTTGGCCTCCCACTGCTGTTAGGAAAAGAAATCAGCACACGGTGCTTTGGGTAGTGGCTCTCTGTTGTCCACAACATCTGGTAACAAGGGGGATACCTGTCTCTGCTTAGTTTGGCTACTGGGGCTAATGAACACCAGGAGGCATGTGGCCATCCTAGATCCCTGAAGCACGCATCCCAGGCTTCTCTGGCAACGCTTGTTTCACCACCCAACAACTTTCAGGGTGAGGCTTTTATTGTGCAGTCACTGTGCTTCATTCACAGTCTTTTCGGGGGGACTGGGCCCTGCCGTCATCCATTTGCGACCCTCCCATGTTTCCCCACCGCCTCTTCCATCTTGCTTCTTGGCACAGGAGATCTGTGAACGACAAAGCTTGGCCACGCAACTCCTCCGGACTGGGCGTGCGAGGCGCTCTCCAGCCGAAAGTTCGGAGGACTCTGCTAACCTGCTGGCTTCCTCCTTGCAATTTGACCTGTCCTCAGAGTACAGGCTAACAGCAGCTCTCTCCCTCTCCCCTATCTTTTAAATAGCACTCTTTTTTTAAAAAAGGAGGGTCATTTTCTCATTCTGTACTTTCTGCAGCATTTGAGCAGTGCCATACCTCCAAAGAGGGGAGCCTCCTAACAACCAAACCGCCACCCAGTTTGACACGCTGTGGCAGTTGCAGCTCCAAGGGGAGCCCATTGCGAGGGTCCTCCTCGCGTGTAAGCTCTGCGCACGAAGAGGGCGAGCAGGGATGAGCCGCCTAATTTCAGCCCACCCTTGCCATTCTTGTTGCCCTCTACAAGCGACACCCTCCCATAGGGTGTACCCCAAGATTTTAGAATCTGGAGGCTAAAATCTCGTCGCCTCTGCCAGTCAGGATAGCTAGAAGCAGTGTGGCTGCAAGAGGGTCATCCTCAAGGCTTGCGCACAAGTACACCTGGGTGGGTTACAGCACTTGGAGGGTGTGACTCTAGTGCAGGAATTGCTTGGGACCCACAGGGCCCTCATCACCAACAGTGGCCCTTTACGGAACCTCCAGTACTACTTTAAACCAGCCAATTACTGCAGGAGGTACCCGTTTATCCACATCTCTTGTCACTAGGCTGTCAGGCTGGGCTAGGCAGCAAGCCTTCTTGGTTCTGAGCCCTCCAGGTGCTGATACGTAGCACATCTGGTGTGTAAACACAAGGAGAGTTAGAAGGCCTCAAGGGAGCCGTGGAGAGATTCAAGCCACACGCTCATCCCACAGACCGATAATGCTTTTCTTCTTTTTCCAGTGACTGACTTTTTGTCCTTGCTAATGGCAGTAAGCCACGCTTTAAGGGTTGCTAGACTCTGAAAATCTGAAAGTTGTCCTGTCTGTTCATTATCTTGTACATACTGGGTAAACTGACCAAGGCAATTAAAAAGCCTCATGTTTTTCTCTTCCTGCCTTCACCTTTTTGTACATTTTTTAAAATATGGTACAAGCCAAACCTCTCTGTATGTTTGCAAACCTGTATGATGTTTTAATGTGCTGTAATATATTCTGATATTCATATATTGTTATTAGTTAAAACATTTGTATCAATACTACAGTTTGTATATGGTAATAAATGCTACAACTTTGTCCTTCAGCTCTGTCATCTGCAATGTTCAGCCAGGCTTGTTGTGCGTTGCAAGTTCTGCCCCCACCCCATTCCCAGCTGTGCAGCAAGAGACCCCAAGTGCTGCACACACACAGAAGCAGGGCCTTCTTGACACATTAGACAAAGCAGGACAGTAGCTGCTGCATGTTGTCGTGTGCTTGGGGGAGAAGCACCAAGGGTCCCCTCGGGAACCGAGCCTATGGCCATCACGCAGCCAGACGCCCTGTTCTTTTCTGTCCCCTTCCTTATAATCCTGACACCTCCCATTTGACTTTTTTTTCCTACCAGAGACTTCACACTAGGCTGATGTTTTTTCAGTAAGGGCCAAAGGAGGGATGATAAATGCGTCCTTGCACTTAGTGTGCGCAGCACCAGTGTGGTGATGATAATCAAGATTGGGACAGGTGAGGAGGAAGGTGTTAATCCCCTTAAATGGGAGGACAACTTCCACTGGCATCAATAGGAGCTTTTCCCCCAGTGCAAATGGGAGTTTCTAGGGAGGAGTTTTATACAGGACCTCTGCAAAGGAGGAATGGGCTAAACTTTCCCCTCCTTTCCTGCCACAAGCCTGATAATAATCTTCCATTCTAGTAGATGCTACTTGTATTTTTTAAAAAGGAGCCTCTGAGGTCAAGAAACATTTAGCACCACATCCTTATTTGGCCCTCCTTGCGCTTCCCAAGCACTTCCTGTCCTCAAGTTCAATAAAGCTGAATTGCTACCAGTACTGTATATATTTTGCAAATTAGCATAGTTTATCCTTTTGTATTATTCTAGGGCTTTGTTTAATCCCGTGAAGAGCAAAAACATCAAAGCCCCTCCCAAACACTTATTCAGCCACTTCTTTAGAGTCTGAAATTTCAGCAGACATTGCTTACATGTCCTCTTTGCAGCCAGGAAACAGGACTTTTTAAAGCAGCAGAAAGCTGAATTTATAATCCTGTTCCACTTTCTGCTTCCCCACATCCCCACTTATGTGGAATTGCACCATAAACACAGCCCTGCATATATGTGACAAGATCTTTGGGGTGTGCTTGTTTTTGACACAATCTGCATCATATTTGCAAAATTTCCCTTTTTTATTGTTTACTCTGCTTCAAAAGGTTATCTTTCACCTTTGCTAAACTGGAAAGGTACAACCACATGTGGTAGCACAGCAGGGGGTTCAACTCAGAGGCCTTATAGGTCTTTCCAGCTCAACTTCTATTCCATTTTGGGAGTCTTCTTCTGATTTCACTATGAGCTTTTGTTTGCATGCACGCCTAGGCTCATACGTTTTGCAAGCGTGGAACTGACTAGTGTCAAGAACAGTGAACACATGTATCCTGGGGGTGACAAATGAACATTACAGTGGAAGTTGAGGGAACTCTGGGGAAAAGTGACCATAACAGACTTAAATTCTTCATTTTAAGGTAAGCAAAAATGAAGTACAGCCATACACATTCTCTGGATTTTGGAAAAGCTGAGTTTAATAAGCTCAGGACAATGATAAGTAAGCTCCTGTGGCAAGTGACTGGAGGGAAAAGAGGAGTCCAAGATGGGTGGGAGTTTTCAAAAAAGGAAATTTTAAAAGCACGGCGGCAAACAATTCCAACAAAAACAAAGAGCAGCCAACTGGAGAAACCAATGTGGCTCCACAAAACACCTTTGAGTAGACCTAACCATTAAAAAGAATACTTGGGCATTTTCTTTGTCATCCATTACCAGTTCGCCCTCCTCGTTAAAAAGTTGAACCATTTCTTTTCTCTGTCTTTTACTATGAACATACCTGAAGAAGGCTTTTTTGTTGCTTTTAGCATCCCTTGCTCACCTCTGGACATGTTCAGCTTTATTTTATTTATTTATTAAAACATTTTTATGCCGCCCCATTCGCCGAAGCCTCGGGGCGGCTTACAAACAAGCCGGCTTACAAACAAGAAGCTTTAGCCTTCTTGATCTCATTCCTGCACCTCTGTGTCACCCAGTGGTTCGTTTGTTACCTGGCCTCCCTTGCACCTTCTAAAGCAGAGCAAAAAGCAGCAGATCGTGGGGCATGCAGGATGTTTCCTTCAGCGACGAAGAAAGGCTAAGAAAGCTACAAGAGCACAAACTCTCCTCTGGGTTCTGTCCCAGTCAGATTGGCTTGCTGGTGGGTGAAGCCTGGCCTGGCAGACTGGCACAGAAAAATTAGGGCTTTTATGGACTTCCTGGGTTACAATAACCCCCTGTGGCCATGGTCTCACAATTCATCCAGGTGGTGCACTGGGAGTTATTTTGAAGCAGGCCCTCTCACCCCGCTAATGCTGAACAAAACTGTAACAAGGCGGGCTTGTGGAAGGAACCCACTATTACCACATGTGGTCTCAGATTGTGGAAAAAGGAAGCCCTTTTGGAGGAACAAGTTCTCTTGTCCTTAGGTAATTGTAGTGGTGGGATTCCTGGTCAAATCAGGAGAAGCAACCCTGTTCTAGTGATGCTAGCACTACCAACAAACGGTGAACACAGGTGCATGGGGGGTGTACAATCAAAAGAACATTACAGCCCTAAAGGGACTACAAAGGAGGATTCCGTACAGGATGCTTTTATAATATATTAGTCACGTAAATAGGTTGCAAGAGCAGTTTGTAAGAGGTGGGTGCTAATGAAAACAAAGGGTTGAATGGATTAAGTCCAGAGACAAAAGGGGCGGGGGGGATGGGATGCAGGGCAGACAAGGTATGCTTCCTAATTGGATCAGGATTAAAGCTGTTTCTGTCCATTTCGGGGTTTCTGTGGCCAGATTATGGCAGAGCTTTGGCTCGTTTCGTCCATGTACAGAACTGCTTCCAGATGACTGTGCATTATGCAGAAGCTGGTGCCTCCATCACTGATGGTGCCTGATGCAGAACTGGAATTGCTCTGTATGTGCAGGAGTAAATGTTTCGCAAAGAGTGGGCCAAGGGCCACCCATGGATCTGAGCATTACAGCCTGCCCAGTAGCTCTTGACTTTCCTGCCCCATATCGTTTTGGTGGTACCAATACAACCACCACATGCACATTGAGTCAGTTAGAAATCAAGGCTGTCAAATGCCAGCTTGGGAAGAAAGAAAAGGAAGAGGAAACCAACAGAGTGGTCGGATGGGTATGAGGGAAGGAAGTTGACCAGAGGGAAGGCGGGAAACAGAAAGGGATAAAGGAGAAGGAAGTGGGGCTGCTGCTGCACCTTCTGATTGTGTCAATGATAACCTCTTTTGCCTCAGAAGAAGTCCTGGCCTTGGGCAATGTTCCTGGAGATGCATGCCTTCTATTCTATATAAACATGCCACTAGAATACTGCTGGTCTGACAACTTAAGCCCCTGTGAAGGCACGTTTCTGTAGAGATGCATGTTGTGCTAAACATAAAACTGCTCCCAGAAGACCACAGAGATAGGAAACATGGCATTTCGATGAGGGCATCAGTCTCTGAATTCTCAGCAAAGAAACAGGACAGCTTAGAAAACAAAATCAAGCCTTTTTGGAATATTAAGAAAAAGGATGCAGTAGCTGTTACCAGCTGTGACCACAAGGGGGCAGCATCACACTTCTGAATGCCTCTATTCAGCATTTGAAAGTGTCATCAGATCAACTACCTGGTGCCCTCCAGGTGCGTGCGCAGGAACTCAGCTATTGTTTGCTTTGGCTTAATTTGTGCCGAGGATCAGCCCTGAAACTCATTTTGAGCGCCTGATCTCTCAGTAAAAGATGATGCATATTAAATTCCATTTTCAGCACCCCTTAGTAAACTGCACTCCCAACCCTACAGCAGTGAGATCGGAGAAGAATGCCTTCAGCTGTTTTAGAGGATTCACACTTTATGAAGGCAAAGGGCAACCAAGTAACAGATTGGTGACCATTTCCCAGGAGCACCTGCATCTCAAGGCACACGGAGCAGTCTCTGCTTGTAAGGTGCTCTGCCTTGGCTTTTGCGGCAGAAGCACTGCTCCCCTCTCGGCAAAGTAGCCCCCATGTCCCCTGCTCCGGTTCTGGCCCTCTCCCCAGCTCCCAGCTCATCCCTGGCATTCTCCGGGACTGTCAGCAAGGCCCAGTCGCCTTGCCTGCACACTCTGGCCCTGCCAGTACCCCTGGTGCCAGGCACGAGCTGTGCCACCGTTTCCCAATAGATCTGGAAGGACTCTCTTTGGAAGCCCCACCCATACGGCCTCCGTCAGCCTCCTTCCCAGCAGCAGTCACATGAGCGTGCCCCCCAGGGCTTCCGATCTGCCCCGCAGAGAGACATGTGGGTGGTGGATGGGCCATGGCAGAAATGCTTCCCCGCACCCACAGCCCCACAAGTGGCTCTCAACACTCCAGTTAGGCACGTGGACGCGTGGGCACATGTCTGTGCAGTTAGGAAGTGGGCAGCACCAGGCGTGGTGGGCGGCAGACGCAGGGCACCCACCTCAGGCGGCTGGCTGCATGCTGGCGTGGGGTGGAGGGCTGCGGGGCGTAGCGTGCAGTCTGTGGGCACAGCTATAGGGCACTGCTCACGTACCAGCAGAAGAGACTGCTGGATGTAGGAACACCTGGCACACTTTTCTCTCCTTGCGTTCCCTGTGCTCAAGCCCCTGTGATGCTGCAGAAATAAAGACTTGTTTTGCAACAGCAGTGGGCAGGGATGGCTGGCATTAAGAGAACGGGTGGAGGAGCGTGGAAATCACACCATTGTCTGACACCCCTCCCAAAAAACAACAAACAAACAAACACAGGTAAGAAGCGGCCTCCTGGTCCCCTCCTGTGGGCTGTGGATTTCTTTATGGAACTGGTCTATTTCACAGTTGGTCTCCGTCTTCCTCCTCCTCCTCTGCCCAAAGTACAACATCTTCAGTTTTGTAATTCCTGCTTTCAGGACTTGGTTTGATCTAGGACCCACTTGCTTGACTTTCTGTCAATCCAGGTTATTCACAACGCTCTCTCCCAGCACTAGGCCTGCTGCAGCTTTATCTACCAGGTCATCCCTCTTGGTTAGAATCAAGTAAATGATAGCTGAAG